TACGGCAGCCCGGTGCAACAGTTCGACTCGCTACAACCACAACCTGGATTCGGGGCTTGCAGGGCACACAACGAACCGCCCCATCCTCCGCGCGCGCGCAGCAACCATCCCTCGATGGACAATTCCGCATACCCGTACAGTCGCTACCCTCAGGACGAGTCTGATCCCTATGACAGACACCAGCATCCGGGCCTGACCTCACACCAAAGCTACCCCAGCTTGAAGAGGGCTTTCTCCCACACGGAACAGCCACCATACCAGGAAATCGTTCAAGACCTGCGGGACGACGGGTCTAAACTGACAGTCAACCATGACCACAAACTTTTGTCGTTCAAAAAGGTGCAGGACAAGCACACTGTTGTGGATCAGCACGGTCGCATGCAGCAGATGGAACTTTCCGCTCAGCTGCATGGCATGTTCTTCCTATCCGAAATGCCGTCGGGCGCTACAGAAGGCTCAGTTTTGCAGCCCGAGTTGACCTGCTACCGACGAAACCTCTTCCAGATTAGCGGTTCCCTTATCACGGCTCGCGGACCGCTGTCTGTTGTCACCGAGACGGGCGAGACAGTTCCCGTGAGCACTACCGAGGTGACTGTATCGGCAATCGAGTCGGTTGATGGGCACCCGGTCCGACTCATTGTGATTCCTTGGAAAACGCCGCCGCCCAACTCCCCCGAGGTGGCCCAGGGTCCCGACCAGGAGCCGCCGTCGCTTCCCCTCATTCCTTTCCAGGATGAGGGGCCAGATGCCGACGGCGAGTACGCTGTGTACCCGATTGGCTGGAGACGACTGCAGTTTCGAATGTAAGTGATGGCATGGGAAGGACTTGACAAAGGGTGAAACTAATAGCAGACCAGTGCGACGGCGAACAATGGCAGGCGGAAGGAACTCCAGCAACACTTTGTCCTACACTTGAAGGTAGTCGGCACTTTGACCAACGGAAACAAGGTTGTCTTGGCCGAGGCGACGACGTCGCCGATTGTCGGGCGGGGACGAAGCCCCCGCAACTTCCAGGCTCGGCAAGGGAGATTCCACTTCTGGGATCCAGCGCAGGGTCGCGCGGACAAGCTCTGGTTGAAACTGGACAGGGCATCGTGGCAGGACCTCTCAGCGCCAAGCCAATCGATGTCAAAGCTAGAGGCATCGACATGCAGATGCCGCGAGCCGCGTTCACCTTCAGCGGCGCGGGTCCAAAATGCCGAGTAACCAAAAGAGGAACATGAGATCGAAAGTATGCGAGCTCCAAATCCCATTCCCTGCCACGAGAAAGACGAACGCATGACAGACTACCGTAGCTATTACCCCAACTGGACCTCACCTGGCATGAGTCCATGTCCCACATCCCAGTGAACTGGTGCGGGTAGCTACTCTGCTTCACCTTTTTTTAGTTTGAGATCTGTAGCACCAGGGCAACAACAGACACAGGCCCGCGCCTCGTTCTCGTACGGCCACTCAACGACGGCCCCGCCACCCACTGTCTATACCGACAAGCGCCGACGCTGCACTAAACATACCCCGGTATGTCGACAGCAACCATCGCCCGACCAAGAGCCCGAGACATGCGAGCCACCAACCCGTTCAGGGTGGCAGTTCGATTGCCAATACCGACCCATCTGCAGAGTATCGATACAGCTCATCATATGTACCGTTGCACGGAGGCAGCGCAGGAGAGCTCCCGGCCCCTGGATATGGCGCGGACTCGACGTCGATTCCTCATTCGGCACCGCCAAGGGACTACTATCCCCCTTCGACCACTTGGACGACAACGGCTGGCGAAGCAAATGCGACAGTGGCCTATACCAGCAGCGACAATCGGTCGTACTCGTCTCCGGGCCAGTACAAGAGCACTGCTCCGGCGGTGCCGGTCAAGAATGAGCAAGGGGCCCCGCCGCCGGGCTCAGCCGCTGTGTACAACGGTCCGCCGCGTGGATCGTTTGACGCGATGAACCACTACTCGTGGCATGCCATCTAATCGGTGCTCATCAACCAAGCAAGAGTGCACATGCCGGAAGCGACTGACGCTTCCGCAACGCCCAGTGCAACCCTAGATTGAGAGGCACGAGCCTTCATGATTTGACTTTGTTTTTGGAGTACCACAATCGAACAATTGGAGTTTTGGCGGATTCGGGCTGAAGGGGTGTTCTTTTCTGTTTGTCGGTTTTTTTTTTCTTGGCTGGGGGTGGGCTGGGACCGGCAAGTCGGCATTCCACCGGACACGGCGGCGGCGGCGACTGTACGAACACATAATTGCTTTTCGATTCGTTGACAAAAGGGGGATGGTTTTGGATGATATGATTGGTGTTCCTAGACGTGGTACGTCGTCTGGGGTTGGCGTTCTTTCAAGAAGAGGCGTGCGTATTGGATTCAGTGACGAAGATGGCAGCAATCGCCTGTGGCAAGCCTGTGGGTGAGGCTGTCGGACGGTGGGTGGCTTATTGGCCGAAAGCAACAATGGCGAGAGCGTCTGACAGGACGGATGGGAGAGAGAAGTCGTGCCTATGTGTGGTGGCGGCAGTGGTGGTGGTGGTAGTAGTAAGTATGTAACTTGGCAGGATAGGCTGTCTAGTTAGTGATAAGGGCACACGAGACGAATATCAATGAAGATGAAAACCACCGCTACGGTGGTGCTGGACGTTGTTGTGAGTGAGTGGCACCGG